ACATAAAAAAAAAAAAAAAAAAAAAAAAAATGGTCAACTATGTATCACTAGTGCTTGAATCATACATAGTTGCCGAGCATTAATTTTACATATTGTATTAAAATAAGGCTACAATTTAATACTTAATAATACAAATTACCAACGAAAGTGTTCGTACTCCCTCGACAGCTGTGCGTATCCAAAAGTAGAGCAGCACATTGCAATCGCGATTGCATCAGCTCTGCACGCAAAAGTCGAACGATGTGCTTGTACACCCACACGCGCGAGCAAAAAAAAAAAAAAAAAAAAGGAAAAAAAAAAAAAAGGAAACGATTCAACATCCGAAAGAGTTTAGCCGCAAGCTGCACAGCCGAGATTCAACGAGATAGCCGGTGGCACGCGCACACGTGTTTCACATTTATTGCCAGAGCGCAAATAGAAGCGCGTTGGTCCGTGGACCCTCTCTGCGCTATCGTGATAATCGAGGAGCCGTCTAATAATATCCCACTGCGCTCTGGTATACATATAAGTGCAGCGGTTGAGAGAGTAGAATTTGGCGTTGCGCTATGCCGCACTATACGAGCTCTTTTTGTTGAATAGCCGAGGTAAATCGGCAGCCAAAAAGTAACGACCTTTGCATGCGCGAGGGGATGTATAGGGGAGAAAAAGTGGAGTTTTTGGATGATATGCGTGAGGTGGCGGCACTTTATCGGAGCTTTCGTGCTTTACGTCGTACCTTTGTACATATATTAAGAATTTACACCGGAAGTAGTTGAAGGTCGGATAATTTTAGCCAAACTCCAAGTATTGACAACTGATGATACGTGCAAATTTGTCTGTATTTCACGTACACGATTGGAGTCAGTAAAAGGAGTACTAGTCCGTTTACGCAACGCGCGTGAGCTTGACCTTTGCCGGTAATCCGAATGTAAACGGGCAACATTATACCTTTTATCAAGAAAGTGAACTAAAAGAAAAAAAAATTAAAACGTCAACGCTTCATTTTAAAAATCAAACAAAAGCAAGATCTTTACATTGTGGGGACTTGAAGGCTCCGGGGGTGCAAAAAACTCGGTAAGGCTAACTAGGGTGCAAAAAACTTTGTAAGGTCTCAACCAAAAGTACTTTCATACTGTCGTTTCGCGCGAGATAAGTTTTTTTTTTTTTTTTTTTTTTCTAGACCGTCCAAAACATACGTGTTATTGTGACAGATTATTCGCTCTCATATCAATGCAAACGAAAGATACGCAAAAGATTTTTTTTTTTTTCTCCCGAAATTAATGAGGATGAGAAATCGTACATTCATCCGGCATACGGTCATCAAGGAAAATTGAGCGCAGGAATTTCAGAGACTCAATCTTTGTTTACCTTTTTTTTTGCTGCATTCGGCACACTTCGAGGCATAAATATTATTGATCGATTGAGCGCGCTGATGCAGATTCGGTAAAATACTTGGCCTTTGCAATAAACCGAATTTTCAATCAATACAAGAATCAACAAAATCTTTTGCTCGATCACCAAATATCGCATAGCTTATTTTAAAACAATCGAGTTGGAAAAAAAAAAAAAAAAAAAAACACAAGAAGCTGATGACACTCGAGCAGAGCTACGTGATCTTATCGGACGAATCAACTTGACCCTCGCGTTACTCATCCAATGTACCCGCGTTAGGACAGTAATGTATTATCTTCTTTCTCGTCTTATCGCGATGTATAAAAATCCACGTAACCTTTGATGTTTACTGTTTACTGTTTTTAATCGTGAGTGTATTTATGTATACACGTACCACACGAGACGCCAGTAATCTTTGCACTTGAGACGAAGTATACACGAAGCTTCTTGAGACAAAAGACAAACAAATAGGGTTCTCCAAAGGAGTTAATTACTCGAGGGGGTCTTAATGTTTCGGAAATTTATTATTACACACGTACCTTTGAGCTAGAAAATAATGGCCCACATATCAAAATGACGATTTTTGTCGATTACGCAATTTTATCGATAGTTCGCCACTTTTGTATATACATATACATTTGACTTGTCCTCGTTTTGCCATTGTTTTGGTAGCACCATTTTATTATCTCCGCCCAAGTACCAGTTTATCTCACAGTACAAGGCGTCGTATGTTCGATTATGAGCCATCGTCTATAGTATGGATGATAATGTATATACATCAAGTTTTGCAGAGGCTAGCGGAGCGGTCGTCGTCCCACATTTCGGCGACTACGAGGTATATATAATATCTTCTTGAGAGCTTGATCTCTGGAAAATCTCGCGGGAAAAACGTTTTTAGAATCGGTTACTTTCAACCTCGAGAATTACCATTTGTTTTTTTCAAATATCAGGTTTGATTTGACACGAAACACATGTACAATTTTAGTTTTGATGAATTGTCAAAACGTCGTTTAATGGTATCGAGAGAGAGAGAAAAAAAAATGGTCTGGCTTGATTGTTCATTTATGTTTTTAAACCATCATACGCGGAGCTTGCAATCGAGCTTTCGCAACTTTTCAGCACGCGACACACCTGTCACTTAGCTTCAATTCATAATATAACGTGCGGGGATGGCTTCGCTCTAACTTTCGACGGCACTCTAAAGTTGCAGGTGCACTTGAGAAAATATTATTACTCGGGAACTATGTGGGAGCTGCCTCTTCAAGGTTGCATTTTTAAGTACAAAGTTTTCATCGCATTGATTACAAGAAGAGTTTTCTCTTCTAACTTGGAGGAATAATGGACATTTTTCTCATTTTACAAGTATACTGACTCGATACTCGAAAATTTTTTTTCTAATTAAAAAATAATGGAAACATATTGGTGCTCTCAAACGGGAATCTTAACATAAGCCTCGCTATGTACACATTAGATACTCGAAGGATGGAATATATTTTTTAACTTGGAAAAGACAACATTTTTCAGCGAGTGCACTTAAAAAAAGAGAAAAAAAAAAGAAATGGTACCGTTTCGGAATGAAAAAAAAAAAAAATCTCTTCCCTACAGGCATATCGCGTTATCCACCCGAAATCACTGATATCACCGATTGTGATCGATTGCCCGGCGATAAATGAAAAAAAAAAGGACACGCACACACGTGGCACACTCGTGCCCGCAAAGGAGATCGCTCGCCGCGGAATAACGGGTCATCAATTTGGATCGGCCACGTTATCCGGAACGACTCGTCCGAGAAATCAAAGAGTGCGTAGGTACATATATATATACACATAACACAGCGGCGAGAACGATAATCGGTCCTGACCGGTTGTCCGTCTCGACTCGTCCGTATCCTGCCCCGCGGAGCTTGGGAGTTTTCTCGATCTTTCTTACGCGTAAGTATACGTATATGAGGACGCGTAGAGGTGACGGCGACTGTCTAGTCTTGAGCGTGTTTTCAGGGCAAGTGGAACGCGGCTCGAGGGGCTCTCCCACGTTAACGATTTCGTTCACTGGCTTTTTCAATATTTGCGTATTCCCAAGGGGCCATGGTTGGCTCGGTGTTCCTATCACTATATGCAATATATTACCATTATTGATAAAATGATAGCCCATCCGCGTAACGCCGTCAATTGACGAACAAAGTCCACGTAACTTCGTCCAGAGAGGCAAGCAACAAATACATCGGAGGGGGTGGGTAAAAAGAGTCTTGGGGGTTGGGGGATGAAATTTCTCTCTGCTTCCCGATAAATTTCAACGTGCATAGCCACACCAAACACCTGTCCGGCGTACTCTGTACTAGACAAACTGCCGCTCACGTCGTCTCCCTCTGCACAACCCCCTATACGGCCAGAGCCCCGATGTCCTCGGACTCCCGCTCGTGCGCAACCTTGGCTCTCCCGGGATGGCCTCCGACCTGTAACTCACTGCAAATATTTTATATAAATTCGCCCAACGTCGTTTTACTTGTGCTTCTTTTTCCCTCACGCGGAGAAATCGAGAATAACTGTTTGTGCCATGGCTTGCGCACGACTATGCCTTCTCTTTGATGTATCTCCCTCTGTGTATAGACTTATTTCTATGAAAAATCTCGACTGAAATGCATGAGCTTTTGGTCTGGGAATTGATAAAATTATTGCTTTATTTCTCGCGTATCAACTGGCCGCACCGGGTGAGGTAACGATTCCACGCGATCGGCCAAACAAGAGTTTCGTCATCGCTCGCGGTCAAGGGGCTTTGAGTTTTCCGAAAAAGTGTTGGCCTTGTTGCCCCAAGGTGAATGACTTTTTTTCTCCCCCGTCTCTCTCTCTCTCTTATCGTTCGAAAAGTGCGAGGAAAATAAAAGGGCCATTGCCTTGCTAGTACCTACTATACCTACCCGATGCGTGTGGGCTCGCGGGTACCTTCTTTGCGCGAGTTATGCGTATAATACATTATGCGGTGATGACGGAAAATCCGCCCTCGTTTCTCGCTCGTTATCGTACCTTTGAACACGCGAATACCGTATGTATACCCGCGAAAATGGCCCTCGTATGCAATAGTAGTTGAACAGTCTCGGGAGGATTTTTTTTGACGATTAGTGATAAAAAATTGTGCAGCTGTACAAATGAAAGTACATTTTTCACGTGGCGCTCGAAGCGCGCTTGAATGTAGACTCGCTTGGGAGAATTGATCTTATATGCTCAAAAATTCAAGCTTGACGGTGGATTCTTGCCATTTTGGCTGATGAATTTTTTAAACCCTGGAAATGAAGTACCCGAGTACGGTTGGAAGGGACATCGTGCCGAGGGTATATACCTACGTTGAATTTTTAATAAAACAAGTTTTAAATTGATGGATAAGCAAGTGAGGGCAAGTAAAAAATGTATCGATGTGCACCAACATGCAATCGGCTACATTATATGTATACATACCCATATGTACAGGGAGCGGGAGGAAAAGTGCTCGAGCCTGCGCAAATTGTCACCCCCAATATGGATTCTCTCTCGTCGCGCAGCACAGTAAAACTCTGTATATATACATATACACAATATACAGTCTCCAGCAGTTGGGTGGAACGAGCCACCCCCTGGTGTAAGCTCGCGCGCCACAGTAGTCTCGACGCCTCGGGAAAAAGCAAGTGTGTGCACACGTATACGGCACATTCCCGTACAACCCCCCGCGGATCCGAGGGCTCTTTCAACGAAGTTGGATAAAATGAGTCGCGAGTGTCGGAAATAGTAGGGGGAAAAAAAAAATAGAAAAAAAAAAGTATAAGGATGGCAGAGTGCGAGGAAGGGCCGTCGACGTCGTCGCCGACGGTGGAGGTGTCGAGCACTCCGAGGCTGTCCCAGGGTTATTTGTACGCTTGTCAGAGGGCAGAGCTGCTCGGGCTACCCACGCCCACCGAGGCCGAGTTTTTCGCCAGCGAGGACTACGCCAGAGAAAGGGACGCCGTCGAGCAGGACGGCCACGATGACGCCGTTGCTCAGGTTATCATCGTTTCTTTTTTCTCTTTTCTTACGTATATACGCGCTAGGCTCTACAGTACGCCCGTTTGGAGGGAAAAATATTGAACGCTCCTTAGGATGATTGTTTTTCTTTGGTCGCAGGAACTGGAGGAAAACGACGAGTGCATGCAACGAATCGGGGGTGGCCTGGACGAGCTGAACACCATACTAAACGCAACCCAGAAGAAGATAAACAAATTCAAGGTATACCTATACGTTTGTTTGTGGCAAAAAACAAAAAAAAAAAAACAAAAAAAAAAAAAAAAACACCCGCGTGTTTGTAGAACGTGTGCGGTAGTCTGGGCACCCTCTTGAAAGCGCGGGTTTCCTCGAGCCCCGGGACCCCGGAGCACAAGCCTCGGGCGGGTTCCTCGAGCGAACAGGAGGAGGTGCCCGCCGCGGAGGGGGACGCCGAGGAGGAGCCACCCCAGCCGCAGGCGGCGCCAAGGAAGGCCGACCTCAACGCCAAGGTCGGCTCGCACCTCGACAAGCTCGACTCGCTCATCAACAAGGCGGAGAACGCCCAGTACAGTATGAAGCACCAGACCAAACAGATGAAGGCTTACATGAAGTAGTTTCTCTTTTTTCTTTCTTTTTTTCCTCCTCCTCCTTCGACGCACGATCGGTGCATTTGGCCGACCGATTGGTGTTGGGTTTTTTTTTTTTTTTTTTTTTTCATTAATCGCACATATATGGGACGGGGGATGGTTGAAAGGGCTCTTGTTTGGAAAATGATGCTTTTTGACAAGCTTTTTTTTTTAATAAGGGGTAAGGTTGATCGTTGAATATTGAATATTGAATATACTTTATGAACAAAACAACGAATTGATCATGTTTACGATAGAATTTGTCATTTTTTCTAGATAAGGCGATAGAAAAAGTAAAAAAGTTCTCTAATTTTATGTAGCAAATCGGAAATTTTGCCGATAACCATAAGGTCTTTGAAGATTGATGTCGTTGAAAATTTTACGTTTCGACTGAAAACGAGTCTTCCTTTCTTGTTTTGTTGCTTTGAAACAGAGGATCATTCGTAGGATTTTAGAATTGATTGTTGAAAAATTCATTGTTAAGAACGAGAATGGTCGTTGTTGAAAATGTTGTTTGGTTGAGAATACCGCCAGTAACACCAAATACAAGTATATAAAAATGTGAACAATATAATTTGTACAAAAGTCACGCGTTAAAATGAACACTTGAAAATTATTTTGAAAAATATCGCAAGTACTAGAATTGTCGGTGTAGATGCATCTTTTGAGATATTTTGTGACGCGGTAAAAACATATCGAAAGGCAGAAAAATAACATAATGGTGAATATACCAATCTAATCTACAATAATATACCTTCTCTGTAAACTCAATTACTCTCTCCATATACGCTTGAAATTTAAATCTTTGTATAAAATACATAATGAATCATGAATTACTTAAAAAAAAAAAAAAAAAAAAAAAAAAAAAAAAAAAAAAAACATGATTCACTGTATGCACTTTTTACATACGTATACTAAGCTTCGATGCTGCTCAATTCTACGTGTGTCCATCCGGCATTTCTCGAAATACCTAGACAAAAATATTTATACCATAAACAAGACCTGAACACTATAGTTACACAAACCTTAAAAAAAAACATTAACTTATATGTACATTTTTATTTTTGCAAACAGTTGGATAGTGCAAATTTCACGCTGCTTAAACGAAATATCTGCGAATGCGCGTAGGATAGAGTAAAGTTAGCGTATTTTTTTTTTTTCCAACAAATTTTCGCTTTTGTAACAATATTCGAACAGTATTTTTGTAAATTTCAAGTAGCAAAGCAAATGTTATAGAGCCAACGCATCGTGTATATTCTCAAGTTGGGCTTCATGTATAACGAATTTCGAAACGACAATGCTGTGAGGCTGTACTTTCAAGGCGAATTTCAAGACTTTTCATGCTCTTATTTCACGAGAGAAGTATACGTCTCTTTTGAATGTAAGCACATTACTTCCCAAGCAATACAACCATTCGAATTCGAAGATAACTTTAACGACAATCTTGTGATTTTGTCTTTTTATGATGTTACATCTAGTTGCGCATTGCGAGTAGTTCATTGATTGTTTGAATTTTTTTATGAAAATTTAAAAAATCGGATTTATTAAAAGTTGAGATTTCTATGTACCTTTATATGTGTATTTGTTGAGCGTAAAATTACGTCAAGATTTGCAGATAAAATATTATATACATCTATTCGTATGGATGGAAAAAAAAAAAAAAAAATTGAGATACGAATAGTTAACTCAAAAATTATCGATCTAAAATACACACGCTTATGCCTGATATATACAAGTATAATATTGTCTGTATCTATATGTATATGAGAATATTCGTAAAAATATACAATATACAAAAGAAATGTTGAATGTCGTCCACACACGTGTGTACTATAAAAATACATATATATATATAATAAGCACTGTAAATGATGGATAAGACAATTGTATTTTATTTAAATCGTTATAAAAGCTTGTTGATGCTAAATGAAGCAATAAACTTATAACGTTAAAACAAACTTGACTTGTTATTACAGATAATTTTATCTTATTTGTTTAATTTTTTTTTTCTTCTTACGCAGTTCGTGCAGAAATAAAATTTTTATCATTTATAATCACAATTATAAGCAAAACCTGTAATGATACATATTATTTTTATATAATTGTCATTTAACTCGATTGATTTGATCCAAACTGCCAATTGAAGTAAACACATTGCAGTATAAATTTAACGGCTCAAACTTACGTAAAATCTTGTTTTACAAAAATATAGAACATAAAGCCGATACTTTTATCACTGTGTCGATTGGATACTTGTAGATTCAGCCAATTCAAATTTCCCGCTCTATACAGTCGCCACACCGCCGCGCGCTTCCAGATTCCAGAGGAGTCGCATGTCGCAGACGACAAATCGGAGTCACCCGTTCCGTGCTCCAGACCGCGGTCACCGCATCACTTCTGAGAGTCAAAACATCACAACAGTCGATGATCATCTTCTAGTCCTTGCCCCGACTGCTACTCTCGGATAAGATGCAGTTGGTGTCGGCGGTCTCGCCTGCTGTGTTTGCCGCCATCCAGACGGTAAACACCGACGCGCTGGCCGAGTGCAGCGAACGCCAAATCAGGCCGATACTGCCCTGCTTGGTTAGGATGAGCCTGATCGCGCCCTTGGACACAACAGCCGAGTGCGTCGAGGCCAGGAAGCAGATACTTACGATACTCTCTGGAATAGAGTCGGTCAATTCCATGGTTGCCCTGCTGTCGATTGACTTTCACGGGCTTGAGATTGATGTCAGGCGCGAGCAGCAGTTGAGGTTTGTTGCTGTCACTGCTGATGTGTTGCTTTTACTGAGATTTTTTTATTTATTCTGTGTATACTTTTAATTACAGACAGAAAAAGGGAAATGCTCAAGCGGACAGTATATTGGCGCAGTCTCTTCAGGGTGCGTTTATCCTGGAGTTTGAGAGAAGCGACGCCAACAGGCGTATTAGGCTGGTGTTGAGTGAAATCCTGTTCATACAGTCTCAGATTCAAGAACTCCAGAAAAACCAAGAGTTTCAAATCAAACAGTCAGACTTGTTCGACAGTGTCGTGTACATAGAGGAAATCAGCTACATAATATGCATTGCTTTGGCAGAATTGCCGGACCTACTGTCTTTGCCAGATATATGCGAAACGTTGCTTCACATTAAACATGGACCAGAAATAGTATGCTGGATTGTGGCCAACAATCCCGACTGTTTTATGGAGGTCTGTTCGCATTTAATTGCCAATGGTGAGCGACAAGAGGAATCGGCACTGAGCGGTATTAGAAATCAAACTCTGACTCTGTTGTGTCAAATGAATCCATCTCAGGCCCTAGCTGTGAGAGCAAAGTGCGTGGAACTTTGCAGGATGCCAGCTTTGGCTATTACTTTGAGTTTGGAGAATGATGGTACCAGCAGTTCAGTAGCAGAAAGTGATATTGTGGCTTTTGTCTCTGGCCTACTACTTGGTAGTGATACTCAGGTAAATTTTTTATTTATAGTCACTTGTTTCATTTTTCATGTAGAAACTTTTTCTGAAATCTTGATTTTTCCAAAGGTGAGAGCATGGCTAGCAATGTTCATTCGGAATGGACAGAAACGGAAAGTGGAGTCGCATGGAGCTTTGCAAGCCCTCAGAGACGAGCTGCTCCAAAGGCTACAAGCAATAACGTCGCACAGCTCTGATGGACAGCTTGCGGAAAGCCGAGTCGTCCAAGCGAGTGCCTTGCTTAGACTGTACTGTTCTTTACGCGGCATCGGTGGCATCAAATTTCAAGACGAGGAAGTGGTAATGATCGTCAAGCTTCTAACATCGCACCCTCCTCCGTCGCCTGCTGGTGTTCGTTTCGTTTCTCTAGGCTTGTGCATGCTCATCGCTTGCCCGTCGTTAATTGGCCATCATAATTTGGAAAAACCCTGCATCGAGTGGATTCAGTGGCTGGTACGTGAAGAAGCCTACTTTGAAAGCGCGAGTGGCGTCTCTGCCAGTTTTGGTGAGATGCTGTTGCTCATGGCTATTCACTTTCACAGCAATCAACTATCAGCCATCTGCGAACTCGTCTGCTCGACCCTAGGCATGAAGATACCCATTAGACCAAACAATTTGACTCGTATGAAACAAATCTTTACGCAAGAGATTTTCACTGAACAGGTAGTTACGGCGCACGCGGTAAAAGTACCGGTGACGGCGAATCTCAATGCAAACATACCAGGATTCCTGCCAGTTCATTGTATACATCAGCTGCTCAAGTCTCGAGCTTTTGCTAAGCACAAGGTGCCGATAAAAAATTGGATTTATCGCCAGATTTGTGCCAGCGTGTCGCCACTGCATCCACTGCTCCCAGCTCTGGTTGAAGTTTATGTTAATTCAATCTTAGTTACGAGTAATAAGTCTATCGAGCACACGAACAAACCTATCACAGAAGACGAAATAAGACGAGTGTTTCAAAATAATTCGTTTGCCGTGAATATTGATTCTATGAACAATAACAAAAAGAAGACAAGCCTCAAGTCTTTTGATGCAATGGAAATTGATTGCGCAACAGATAACATTACCACGGAAAGCACAACTAAACCGTCGCTGACGTCGCAACTTTTGCTCCTGTATTATTTATTATTATACGAGGATGTAAGGCTATCAAATACTCATAATTTCACATCCCAGGGTCGCAAGGTCAAAGCTTACTCGATCGAATTCATGTCCGAATTACCCATCAAGTGTATGCTGCAGCAAGTCCAAAGGGATCAAATGAGTTATGGTAATTTGTTCCCTCCACTGCTCAGGTTACTAGCCACGCATTTTCTGCACTTATCGCTTGTGGAAGACTGGCTCGACGACGAGGCAATTAATCTCGATGTTGGTACTCTGACCAAAAGCCACAACGAATCAATTGTAGTAAACGATTCTAGTATTATGGAGGCTTTCGATCACGTACAAAGTTGCCCGTCACGAACGGCTGTGCTGCTCAGACAACTGATTTCAATGAAACCTACAGATATCTGGCCGTATGCCAATACCATAGTGCAGTTTTTCAAGAGGGTGTTGGATGAACAGGTGCCGAGGTACATTCAAGGTAATTTCGATTAAGCGATACGTTTTTATTTTTTCGTGGATTATCTACAGTATATTCATTATCCTCAATCCTTTTGTTGCAGAACTCTATCAACAAGTGTGGCTGAGGCTAAATGCAGTACTACCGCGCTGCCTGTGGGTACTTACAATAAACGAATTGTTTATGGACAATTCAACAACTGTATTTTTAACTCAAGAAACTATTGTTTTCGATCCGCTTCAAGTTTTACGCTGCGACATGCGGGTTTTCCGTTGCGCACCTGTCTTGTCTGTAATACTTAGGTTTGCCATCATTTTTTTTGGTATTTGTTTAGTTCGTGTTTTGTCACATAAAATAAGTATGTATCTACCATTTTACAGGATACTACAAGCAACACTAGCAGCGTCCCGATCGCAATTAACAAGGCACGTACAGGATAGACCGTTAATAGAAAAAGCTGGACAGCTGACAAATGAAGCAGAAAGAGAAGAACTGAAAACTGCTCTGATCGCTGGTCAGGAAAGTGCTGCTGTTCAAATTTTATTGGAGACGTGTATTGAGACCGAGGAGGACAGAATTGTTCCCGGACAAATGTGGTCCCTCAGGGAAATAAGGAGTGTTATATGTTCGTATATACATCAAGTATTCATTGCTGAACCGTCTCTCGCTAAATTGGTGCATTTTCAGGTACAAAAAACTTGTTTAAATTACATTCAAGTTGGCATAATGGAAGTAAAATATTTAATTTAATGACAAAAAAATTTCAGGGTTACCCTAGGGAGTTAATCCCGGTGACAGTTGCTGGTATCCCATCAATACACATCTGCCTGGATTGGATTCCAGAACTACTTGCCCAGCCGGAATTGGAAAAACAAGTTTTCGCCGTGGATCTTGCATCCCACTTGGCAATTCAGTATGCGTTACCTAAAGCATTGATTGTTTGTCGATTAGCGATCAACACTTTAGGTACCTTATTGGGCGCTTTACCGGCAAAAGATCGCGTTGAACTTTTCATGCCGATTTTACCTGCCCTTACGAGGATAAGCTTTGTGTTTCCGCCTCTCGTCGAAGGAATCATCGATTTGCTCTTGCAGCTCGGTCGCGTTAGTAATGCGCAGGCAGCACTAGGTGATCGATCTGCCGAGTTACTCTGTCAAGAGGTCAATTCGACGTTTGCCAGCCTCTTGCAAAAAGCTGTTCTTCAATCTAATATTTATTGAAGTGTGTGACGTATCTCATTAGTTAAATTACAAATTGTTCTAAAAGCACTGTAAAATATTTAATGTTGTCAGATGGTAATGATTTGTGATTTCAATACCAATTACATTTTTTAATGAAATTCGTACATTTAGATCATGTTAAATTATAAAATATTTGAATCGTGATTTACGACAATGATTGAATTAAACCATGTTGACTAAAGTGTTAGATTAAGGATGTTGAAAAAATGTACATATATTGACTAATGAAATTTTTATTGTTTATAAATTTTTTAAGCTTAGTTTTTAAATAAAAATTCTTTTAAATATCAAAGGCTACGCGTTTAGTTTTGAACAAAGTCACGTCTTCGTGCGATGTCCGAAAAGTTTATACAATAGTTGGTTTTTTGTAATGTACATAAAAAGACAATTTTTATTTAAAAAAATTTTGATCATACAAGATTCACATTATATTTTATTTATAAATGCACTTGACCAGGCTTTGCCTTATAAAATCCGTTAAGGAATATAACAATTCCTTAAAGTTATGTTTTAAAAAAGTACAAATGAAATAATTTACAAAATATTCACTTTTGTTACACATATAACTATATTACACGTATATTTCACTTATATTTTACGTACATGCATATCAGTATAAATATTGCAACTTGAACCTAGAGTCAGTGGGTACAAGTCCTTTATCATCTAACCCAGAGACAAAGCACAACGGATAATTACAATATAAAAATCGATAATTATTGAAAATCCAAGATTGGTTCAAAACAGTTACTCAAAAACTTATATCTTTTTCATAACTTTCCAATATTTTACATAGTTCGCTTTGGTTTTCATCAAGGATATCAATCATTTGGTCTAAAAACGGTTTCACGTAATCTTTTAAATATGCCTTCTGTTTCATCACAGCTTCTTTCTTTTCAGCACAAATTGTTAATTGTTGATTCAATGTATCCATTTCGTTTGTCATTTTGAGAATCTGTTCGGACAGTTCATCAATGTTGGTTTGCAGTTTCTTGATCTCTTCGCGTTTTTTAAATTCTTTTGTTCTAAAATCTTGCTTTTTCTTCTCGTCTGTAGCCTTTTTTTTCTCAACCTTCTCCGATAAGACATCTTTTTTTGCCTTCATCGTCTCTTTTTCTCTGCCATACGATTCAAGCATATTTCTACTCTTTAGTAACTCTCTGCTGCATTCCTGCATGTAGTTATTCATCAATGCTTTCTTTTCCTCCAATCTGCCCATAAAGTCTGCTTTGCAAATTCCGTTTTCTGGCATCAGTAGTTCGTCAATATTTGTTTTACTATCAGAAAGTTGCAAAAAAAGAGATTGATTATAGGCCAGTATAGCTTTCTCGAGATTCGTCTTTGACGACACAAGGCGGATGTCCAACGAGTATGCCTCTTTTTTTATTTCTTCAAGATGAGCGTCGAAATTTTGTATGTATGTCTGCTGTTCGGTGCAGGTCTTGACAATTTCATCACGCTGTACAACAGACATGGGTTGATGCTTTATGGCGTTTCTCAATTCTTCCTTGGCAGCTTCCAATTTTTCAACATCTTTGCTAAACTTGACTGCTTCTTTGGCGAGATTGTCAATATCCTTTTTTGTTTTGTCAATGTAAATTTGTCGTTCTGCGATTTGTTCTTGCTGCTTAATCCTGTCGCTTTTTAAATTTACCAAAATTTGCTGCAACTCGCTCACTTCCTCATTCACTTTATCAGTTTGAGCCTGCTCTATTTTCAAATTTTCCTGAGCTTTCTCATACTCTGCATTGATTTCTTCGTACTTTTCATCACTGACCCCTCTCCTTTCAGCTTCGTCTCTGAAAAATTGATGTAAAATTCTATCTTCTTCTTCAGGCTTTTCCTCATTCCAGGCCTTGTAACACTTAATCATGGAAAGAAAAATACTTCTGCGGTTTTCCTTTTCTTCCTCAGACTGTCCTATAACTGGCAACCTTTCCAAAGTAAAAATTTCACTAGCCACGTCCTTGACCTCACACAACTCGACAAGCCAGCTGATCCATCCAATGGCTTGAGGCCAAGAGTGCGGTGTATTGGCAGTTTTGAGCCAGGATTTATTCATTGATCCTGGGTAGTGAAGTTTTTTAGCTATTTTGGGTATTTCTTCAATGTAATTAGCACTGCTCAGAGACTGTTTTATATCAAGGAGCTTCACCAGAAGATTAGTAGCATCAATGAATATTTTCAAAGTGAGAGGCTTTAAGCTTCCATTGCTGTTTAAAATAGTACTCTGACCAATAGAATGAAAGTAGTTGTCAATTTTGTTCAACATTTCGTTTTGATAATTCTTGTCGCTGAGTGGCCTGTTGTCTTTTTTGGGACCTTTTGGAACGAGAGCGCTAGCCCTCTCGGCAGACGACGCTCTGACGTTTCTATTATCACCTGCCGTTCCTGTATGCCTAGACCCACTAGCCATTGGTGTTATGTATCCTTTAGAAGCTAGATTAGACGGATCGACATTAGAAGCCCTGCTTGACTTTTCAATCGTGTGAGTATAGCGACTGCTGGGCATAGGAGAGACCATAGATGAGGCTGTTGTGTACTGTCCAAGGGATGTTTTTGCTCCTAAAATGAGTAGTGAATCCTTAGGACTGCGTTGTTGATGTCCTGCAGCTACACTTGTACTAAATAAAATCAAAACTTACCAGTAGTAGGCCTCAAATTGGATTTTCTCATACCACTGAGTCTGTCGCTCGAGGAGCTGCGCATCATCTTGGGCTTAGGTATCATGGACTCGGTTGTTCGTCTGGAAGGATCCATCCTGACGGAGTTCCTGTCAGTCTCCTGGGATGAGAACCTGGTACCGGGATTTGAGCTTTTTCGCATCTTGGACTTGGTTTATTTTTACTTGCACTAAAACTTTATTCAATTATTACTCTCAACAATATCAACAGTGATGAGGTGACTGCCAAGCACAAGGCACATAACGCACATTGAACGAAGCAAGAAACATTATTTTTCCCAAGTTTTACTTCGAAGCACAGGACAATGCGATATTTTGAAGGATTTTTACTCTACTAAAATCTTCGTCCCGCGACAGCTAGTCCTCGGTATTTTTGTAAATAACTGGTTTAAATGTAAAAATTTTTCAAATCTTTTAACCGACAACAAATCAACCGTCACGCCATCACACGTGTATGGTATGTATCTATGATATATACAAATATACATATCATGTTGCAGGACCAGTCGTACCAATGCAAGTTAGCGGCGTGTTTAAACATGTAATTTGATTCGAATAATTTTCTTAGCAAAAAATGTAATTTTTATAGTTTTGCCTGCATAAGCCAATTTTTTAATCATAAATAAAGATAATATATTTAATGGCAAAAATTGAAGCTACAATAATGCTAAATATCAAGCACCTCTTTCCCCCCTGCTTTAAAAATGCCCCCCACTCTTCTATAAAAGTTGGCTCTCACTTTGTGTTGTCAGTACTGAAACAGCCAATTCTCTACTTCTTTGCGTTCTAGCATCGAACAAAGTCGGTCAGTCTCAATTTGTGGTGAGCAACACGTTTCGTGTCATCAAGACTTAAAAGTAAGTTAATTTAGACAATTAATTAGAAAAATACGTGCTTCAATATTTGGCCAACGATTTGAGGTGCAAATATCATGGACATTCAAAGTAGATTGCAAAAAAGTAGTGGAGCAAGAAATGGATTGTTGCGACTACTCGTTCACTACCTTTCGCTCGTCTTATTATTGTTGACCGTTCTTTACTTTGCTATATCGAATCTAAATTAGTGATTACAATGATGATTGCAATTATCACCATCTTTCGACTGATGCGCTGTGATGGTTAATTTCTAACTGATGAAATATATTTTAAATAATATAATTTACCCGGTTTTTTCACACGTGTGTGTACAGTTTAACACATAACCTAATCACTGTTGTTTTTGTGATTTTTTCTGTTTCATCAATTCAGAATGCGTTACGTGGCAGCTTACCTTTTGGCCATCCTCGGAGGTAAAACCTCCCCCAACAGCTCTGACATCGAGAAGATACTTTCGTCCGTCGGTATCGAAGTTGATTCCGAAAAGCTGAGCAAAGTCATCTCTCAGCTCAATGGCAAAAACATCGAGGAGGTGATTGCTGAAGGTATACGCTCGTTTTAATGTTGTATTATTTTTCTGTGATGCTCTGAGGAGTTCATTAATTACTTGTAACTTACAGGCCGAGAGAAGCTCAGCTCGATGCCAGCTGGTGGTGGTGCTGCTCCAGCGGCTGCTGCTGCCGGAGGTGCTGCTCCTGCTGCCGAAGAAAAGAAAGGTATGTTTGTTTTATTTTCTTTTATTTTGTTTCAGTGCTGTAGATTATAGAATATCCGTGTAATGATTATGAGGAGCTGTTCATTTTACCTCAAACATTGCAACATAGACAATTATGATAGAAAGTAAGATAGTATATATCATGATTTAAAGTAAACTAAATGATGTTTCAATAATTACCATCTTTCGACTGAGTCGTTGTGCTGTGAATTTTATTGCTGATGCATTAATTTTTTTTCTTGAAAAAATTCCAATTTTTTTATGAACAATATATTAATGAAGATGTGTTTTTTAATGTTTCAGAAGAGAAGAAACCTGCCAAAGAAGAGTCTGAGTCTGAAGATGAAGACATGGGCTTTGGTCTCTTTGATTAAATTTCCAAAATCGGCCTTTATTTGTTAGCGGTGTAACAATGCTGCAGTGTGAAAGTTTTTTTACAAATATTTTATGAGTGACAGTGCATTGCCGCTGATGAATAAATGCTCTAAAAAAAAAAATCGAAAAAATTGTCTTAATTTTTTATCTGCACATGCTAGATTGAAGCTTATTGAATATTACCAAGTAAGTACCATGTGATTCTTTCACCCCGGGGTCTCGAGATCGCGTCCGTTACTCTATTTACCATTTTTCCAGATGTATCGACAAAAATTTTGATGCTTATCGACTGTTGATACGAAAGTTTTTGCCATTTATGTATTTTATTTTGTTCGTATATTTGCCCCCCAAATGGATTTTGTTAATAGTTATATCTACATTCCTATCAATCTAATTACTATATACGCGCTTCTCACGATCGTTACTCTATGGGTACTTGTTTAATATGCATATTTTAACATTCGAATGAATTTTCTTTGATCGGTTGGTTCGGTAAAAGTACTAATTGAGAGAAAACTTAATGCAGTAAGCCGCATGTTCAGCTACCCTAAACTAATTAAATTAAAATATTAAATATTCAGAAAAAGAATAATCGCGCAAAGCCCGAGTAACTTAGACCGGGGGTGGGGGGGGGAAAAGATAAATTAGCCCACGATTTGTTGGGCAATCCACATTATTCAGATCAAAGCCGTAACTTTAAAGCCTATGTACACACTTGCGTCTCGTAAATTCCACTGACTCATGATAAATTCAGCTTCAAGTGGTCACGTCGAAAGAGCTACTTATTCACGAACGCCATGTCATACATATACTGCGCGACGTGGAAATAAGTAGTAAGTATCAGCACACTCGACGAGCGATGTTTTTAAGCTTCCGTGGGCATCGATCACTCTCACCGGGAATAACGCCAGATGAGCATATATCATGCGAACAGCCTCGTTTAAAAGTTTGATGGAAAAATAAATTAGTCAGTGGTACAGCCCTATATAATTCGATAGTACCTAGTAGCTATATATGTCACGTGCCGCAGGGAAGGCTTGGGGTGCGCGTATACGCGAGTCACATGCAAAGGACTTTTATGCGCAAGGTCCGGCCATCCAGCGGTGTTGTATACCCTTAAGGAAGGGAGCCACGCATAACGATTGACACAAGTGGGGGCACATACTTATAAAAGAGCCTTCGTTTGGACGTCTCGCGCGACAAAGGAGCGAAAGGGGAAGAAAGATACACGCACGCCCAGTCGAAAGTCCTGCGGGAGCTTTGGGCCGTTAAAAAATTGATGGAGCCAGCTTTTTTTGCCCCCCTTTGTTTTTTAAAGCCACATGGGAAGGATGGACGTCCTCCTGGGTAGGTGCGTAGGCATTTTGTAGAGAATAATAGGCGCATGCATATGCGAGTGCAAACAAGGGGACTTTGAGCTTTATAGGCCTCGGGTGTATCCGGAGTAGGGGGCGGATGTAATGCTTTTAACGCAAGGGTGGAAAAGAACGTAACGTGCGTCGAGAGGAGACCCGTCGCTGACTGCGTGAATGTTTGATTTCGTACTTTTGCTCCCCTCTCTCTCGCGAGTGCCGCGTGAATGTTTCATGTAATGGGCTTTTTCCTTTCTACGCTCGTGTTTGGTGCTTTTCTGTCTTTCCGAGTGTTTCTGTAGACGGTTTTTTCGCATCCTCTTTGAAATTGATGTACCGGTCCACTCGAATCGTTTGTCCGTTTGGACGAGATGTGGGTCATTTTTACGTAACTTAATTTTGTTTCTAATCGAAAGTAGTTGCCTTCCTGTAGGTGGTCAAAATTAATCTTTAGTATATTGTAATTAAAAGGGACCAAGAGGGAGAGAACAAAACTTACTCGCGTGATGAAAGTTATGTGCGTGTACACACGTCAGTTGCAGAAAACTAACGAGGCGTTGCGCAAATTTTGGACGAAAACTTGAATTTTGGTAGTACACGCATAGTATACCTGTATGGGTGTAAACGAAGAAAATTTAGTTCCCCCGCGGTTTCCCACCGCTCTGCACTTGAAGTTTCCGCTCAAGATCTTTTGAAAGGCGTGTTACATCGGCTGTTGGCGCTTACCAAATGTTTGGGACATCCTTGCAAAGTACATAATATATATAGTTACCACACGGCTGATGAGGAAAAAGTTATTACAAACTCGATCCCGCCAAAGTCACGTTAAAAATAGTTGTGATTCAACGTTTACGTGTATACGTATATGTATGGCCATCTTCGGTATACCTTTCGTATGATTTGAAAATAAATGTCAACTTTTATTGTTTAATCAATTAGCATGGGACATTGGAAAAAAAAAGAAATACGTAATTTTCCGCGTCGACCATTTATATACCATGTATATACGCTGTCGTGGCAAAAACAGATAATTAAAGTGCACATTTTACGCAACGCGTTGCTGATAAAGTCCACGCGGATTATTTATACATACACACGCGTACTATGAGCGCACCCGTTAAAGAGTTGCGGTGCACAGGAGCGACGCGATAATTCACCGCGGGTCAGCGGAGGATCAACATAAAAAAAAAAAAAAAAACATGTATACCTAAGCAACAAAAATTTATGAACCGCCGGTCAGTCGCTGTAGTTATGTGGTGCGTGAGGGTGAAAAAATTACCCTCCCCCGTCCGCGGAAAGTAAACGTCGAAAATCACACAGATGGACTTTGTAATTTTTTTGCACCGGTGCTCTTGATTTCGCGGTCTTTTTGTTTTCATTTCCAAAATCCACGACATTGTACACATTTTCAATCGACAGGGTGCCATTTTTTCTTCAAAAAAAAAAAAAAAAAAAAAAAAAAAGGGATAACTCAATCGTTACCCACGTACGTATAAGTATAATCATAGAAAGAGCGGCACTCGTACATGTTATACATGTAAAGCGATCTTGTCGCGGTCGGAGTCTCGGTGACAAAGTTACATGATGTATATATATGTACGAGTGCACTCGTACGCACTTACAGCATCGAATTGATCGGTAATCCGTACACAAGTAGTACGTGGGGCGATGGGTACACAGGCGACGGGAGGGGGAGGGGGTCGGTTCTCTTCAGCCGCGCACTTCATTATTCCATCGTCTGCATAATCGCATCGCGCTCGTACTTTCCCGCGTGTGTACTTGCAAATAAGAAGAGGAGCAAAGCCAGAGAGGAGGCGAACACACTCGTGCAGTTATACGTGTATACAAAATAGGGGAGGAGAGACGGGATGGATGTGCTAAGCGACCGGAGAACAGAGGTTATCGCACGCGTGTGACGGAGGAAGGACATTTGCATGCTGGGAGGGGTAGGACTGGGAATAATCAAGGTGAGCTGTAGTTTTTTTTTTTTTTTTTTTTTTTTTTTCTTTTAATTTCAAGTACCAGTTTATTGTACGTGTACGTGCGTTCGAAAAAGGTTGAACGAATTTGCGTACAGGGGGGGGGGGTAAGGAGAAGGGCACGTGTGACGTCGAGGGGGCTGTTTTGTGACTGTGTGCAAGTACATAATATATTGAGATGGGAAAAAAAAGTAGGTACGTGAACTGTACAATGCAGAACCACAGTGCACGGCAGCGCGTGTCTTATGTCCAAGTGCTCACTTGTATGAATGCGTTACGGTTGGGGAGAGAGGATGAGTTGTAGTTTTGATTGCTCGAAGCTGTGTGTAGCGCTTACCTCAAGTGCCAAGTGATGGACTATTCTTTTTTCTTTTTTTTTCTTTATTACTCATTCTCTTGGATAGCTCTTGATTTTTGCTCCATTTTTTTATTTTTTTATTTTTTTCTTGGAAGCTCGAAAGTGAATGATTTTTTTTCAATAAAATAAATACGGATTTGACGAGCCGCTGTGTGTATTTAATTGGAAACATGCGCACATTCTTCACTTGAAATGAAACTGAAAACTTTTTTTTTTTTTTTTTTTTTTTTACCCCAGATTGAAACGTACAATAATCATCAATAATAATTAATATGAATTAATTAACCAACGAGAGTGGATGAGTGAACGTAGAAATTAATATGGGTACACGAAAGCGCATAATATTATTGGATTTTCTCTTACGAGTATACATTAAACGAAAAATTTTATTTGTTCGAAACAATACAAGTGCCGAATTTGGTTACAATACCTATATAAAAATAGTTAACCTTTCTCAACCCCCTGCACGCTATTGATGCGATTATTGAATACTCCCATCTCCTCTCATGGCTCATTTCTTGTAATCTATAAAAAAAAAACTCTGAACCCCAAAAATCAAAAAGGAGAATCGGCGTACAATACCCTTACTAAAAAAAAAAAAAAAA